ACCTGCACGTGGCAAAATGTTTTGTTTTATTTAAAATTCTAAACAGAAGGTGAAACAATGAAACATTATTATTCCCCAGCAAGTCCTTAAATAAAAAAAAGTGCATAGAAAACAATGTCCTTACAAATTCTTTGTACACTTATTTACAACTCTTCTCCTCAAGACGCCGTCTCACCGACGAGACGCGACGATCACGATTCTCTGACTCGAATTGCGCTCACCACTCGCTGCGTCGCACGAAAATACAAAAAAAAGAAGAAAAAAAATCAAAGATGGAGTCCATCTGGTCAAAGCTTGGAGGCGGAGCAGGTGGTTAGCAGCAAAAGGATTAAAAATGATTGTCACCCCCAAACAGTGTTTTCGTTTTGCTCCCCAACGTCGGAGAAGCTCTCCAGATAGGAGTGAATCAAGATGCCAGGAAAAAAGGAGACTGATAAGTTAGAAGAGAAGGGGGGCGCCCCCTTGCTTGCTGCGTAGTCTAAGCGTCGCCCCTCGTTTTCCACAACGGTTGCGGGAAAACGTAAGCTTACGGGCGAACGCTGCCGGGTTAGCAGCAAGGGCGGGATCCAGAGAGGAGACAAATTCTTGAAGACCCTGAGAGGAAGGAGAGGTCTGCCCTGTACTATTAATGACGGACAAGCCAGGACAGAGGGTAAAGTGCGACTTCTTGTAATGCTGACCCCTCTCTGCGCCATTGCCCGAAATCTTGCGTCCGCCGTGGAAGTGCCAGCACCTCCAGACCGGCACTTGCGGCCATTTTTTTTTTTGTTTTAATGTTTTTTTATAATGTTTTTTTCTTTTTTTTTTAGGCGTGCCGCGCTCAGTTCAGGAAACGACGGCACTTTTTGGCACCACAGTTACAGGACAGCTTGTTGCTGGGGTCCTCGATGGGGAACTTGTAGTCGTAGGTCAGTTCCTCGCCGCGGTAAATGCTGCGGAGGGCGAAGATGACTATATGCTTCTGGCCTTCCACGTGGATGACCCGGGAGTAGCAGTTGGGCTCGCAGGAGTGGTTGATGAAACGGGCCGCGTTGCCGTGCATGGTGGCGTCGACCACGTCGAAGTCGTCGATGCGGAACATGTAACATCCGATTCCCTGGAATGGGGAACAGAGATATCAGGGTGAGTGGCAGGTCTGGAGATGAGCAAATCCGAAAATTGTGTTTTACCTTTAAGACTTCAAGCAAGTTCCCTTTAAAGCTGAACTCCGAGCAAACGGCTAAAATACACAGAGGGGAGCCGAGGCATTCGATTGTCTATCCATTCCTGAGGCTTACACAGCTCTGCCACACATGACAACCTTGCCTTGTAAGACGGGAAAGCTGCAATTCAGCAATATTGTCCCTCCCCCCAGACTGTGACTGGACCGTGAAAGGAGAAGCAGCAGACTGATGAACTCCTCTGTCACTCTGCTCTCTCAGGTACTCCTGGTTAGCACCACTGACTGGCTCCTTTTGCTGCTCCTCCCCCAGTCTGAGCTCTACTGCATAGGGGATTACAAGAGGCCGACAACATGTTAACCTCCCTGGCGGTCTGATTATCTCAGTATTTTTTCTCTTTTACATTTCCTGCCGGTTCCGTCCCCCTGCGACGCGGGCAAAGGGAAGGAACCCGAAAGACGGATGCCGGCATTGGCCGGAGGATACAGCGGGGCTTGTAGGGACAAGGTAAGTGACGAACATTGTGATTTCGAGTGTGGCTCGGGGGTCACCGCTTTTGGTACTGAAAATTAACTCCGAGCCAGACGCGGGAATACCGCCAGGAAGGTTAAAAGGAGAACTATGAGGTGAGTGATTGACACTCATAGTTAGAACGAAGCTGTCACAGGTCGGCTCTATAGAGCTGAAAGTGAGCAAACGCACACATACGGTCACTCGCTCACTTCCTGATCGTCTCCCCGCAGAGAGTGCTGACTGTCACTCACAGCTCCCCGCAGGGATTCCCCCCCTCCTCCAGCGCTGACTGAAGGAACGGACTGGGGAGGGGGCGGGCACAGCTGGCTCTAGATTGACAGCGGGCTCTGCCTATAAGCACGACGGCTGCGGTGTTCTCAGTATATAGCTAGCAATAGCCCGCTATATACTGAGCTTTGGGTCACGGGAGGAGGTTAGCATACGTCCTCCTATGACCCCAAAGAGAACTATAGGATAAAAAGGTTAGCCCATAGTTCTCTTTTAAACCCAAGTACCTGCACTGCTCACACTTCTGATACACGAAGGATTATAGAGCCGCATTCATTTATATCTCCTATATTTGCCTGGAGTTCAGCCTCATTATTGTTTTGTATTCCTCCCCCAAGTTTTAAAATCCATTTTCAGCCAATGCAACCAAGTCTAATGTCAGTCACACGACTACGTGTACAATAGAAATACACGCACGTGAACACTCTTCACATACTTGTATCACTTTATGGCATCATCTCCATTTTAAAGAGGAACTACACTTCACCGATTACACTTTCCTATATGTCAAAGCTCCAAAGGCAGTGAGAAAATACTCTATTGCGTTCTCTGGCCGATCTTTCTATGTCCGCCTGGCATGTGGCACATGTGCAATTGCTGCTAAATTCTAGACATCCTTTAGGATCCTGTTCAGGGTGACATCGCCCCCCCCCCCCCTTCTATTCCCAGGAGCTCCTGTAAGCTCTCAGCTCTCTATTAGCCATTGAGAAGGGTCGTGATGTGGTGTCCGGGGTCACCAGCACCATGGCAATGTCTAACAGTTGATGTCAACTGAGTTCTTCGGGAAGAGGTACCCGTCCTAGAGTGAAATGCCCTTTCTGCTCTGTATACCGCTGAGGATAGGGCTGCATGTTGACAACAGTACAACGGCTTCTGGTAAGAGGTGTCACCATTACCTTGCTGTCATAGAATTTCTCCCTCTTGTCAGTCAGCACAGCTCTAATAACGATGCCCGAGTACTCGATGACCATCTCGCCAACGTCTATGTTCCTCTTGCAGAATAGGCCCCTGCCATGGATAGATGACCTGCAGGAAGGACACAAAGAGGTAGTGACGGCCGGCTCACAGAAAACAGAAGCCGACCAACCACTCAGCAGGTCACATACCTGTACACACCAACAGCCTCTTTGGAGGTCTTCTTCAAGTGGCGGAATCTCATTGCCATGGGAAGGTCCAAGCTGGTCGCTCGTCTGAAAATAATGCAGTGATCCATTTTAATATAGACCTATACTCAAAAATTTGCATTCCTATATGGACTATCCAGAGATGTTACCCGTTCCTAAGCACTAACCTTAAATAAAAAACTACCTTTTGCTTTGAATTGCTCCTGAAACATAGCAGTGCACTTCCTATGCCTAGGTATTCCGTTCTGTAGTGTCATAGCTGTAAACCTGCATTGTGAGATCATCTAAGGCCACCTCAGCACTCCAACTGAGGTGAAACTGAAAATCCCATCATGCCTCTGCCCGTTAAAATCGCGCGACGCCTGCGGCTGTCGGAGTAGGAGTCGCGCCTGCGGCTGTCGGAGTAGGAGTCGCGCCTGCAGTAGGAGTCTTGCAATGCCTAATGGGACTTGTAGTTTTAGAACAGCCGGAGTGCTAAGGTTGCCTACCTCAGATCTAAGGCACTGCTTCCTATGACTGCTAGTCTCACTTCTGTTCTCCTTACTGGAGAGGAAGCTGTACCCGAGGACATGCAGTGCAAGAATCTTCCTGCTTCATCTGTGCTTCCTGGTTATTCTGCAATCAGGGGACAGCTCTAACATGGGGAAAGCAAAGCCCCGCCTCTTCCAATATGGCCACCTTCACACAGATGTGGTGCAGAACAAGGCATACTAATCCGTATGAGGTAATATGATCACCAACAGGGAGGCCATATCGGTGACTAGTCCTTTGCCCTCTGCTTGCTATATTGGGCAAAGCTTCCACAGTACAGGTCCCTCTTCAATACCTGTCCACACCTACTTACACATCTAAGCATGCGCACGGAATTATAAGACATATTACCGGGTGGACTTCAGCTGCACTTCCTCTTCCTCCTCCTCGTAGGCGCACATCTCTGGCAGCGTGCGGTGCCGAGAGGCCAGGAAATTGAACATGTCAAATGTGCACTTCCTACAAAAAGAGACACGTAGCCGGGTCACAAAAATGCAACGACCAAACCACAAGGTAAACACCGCTCGACACCACAGAATGCTACACATACCTGACATAATACTCGCTGCGAGCGCAACCTGTTGGGTTGACTAATAACACCTCCTCATCGACCTCCTGGGGGTGGAAATGGAAGTTGTACCCGCGGCAGCGCTCGGCACCGAGGAGCTGTTCCAGGAGGAAAAGCACTGCGTCGTGCTGAACCCCCAACATCCGCGCTCCGCTCAGACCGGCTGTAGGAATAAATACTAAGTGTTAAACACATGGAATTGTACCAAGCAAATCCCTTAAAGGAACACACCACTCTGCTGTAGCTTTTTCTGAACACCCCTGTCTCTCTCACATACTTGTGATTGGCTTTATCTGCAGACAGACATGGCGTGATGGAGGATAGAAATCTCCTCAGTCTGGAGACGTAGGCATTCCTAGGTAGGCTGTATTTGCATGCAGTCCACCCTAGTTGAAACCCACATCATGCTGAGCCTCCATGATTGACAAGACTGAAATCCAATCAATGAAAAGTGTGGAACAGGGACCGTCAAAGCTGGAGAGGAATGTGCTGGGCATCCTTTAGGATCCTGTTCAGGGCAACATCAGCCCCCCCCCTCCCCAGAAGGAGTGTCTGTGTCTGTATACATACATACGCACACATCATAGGTTGGATTTGTCTTTATTCAACCTCAAATACTATGTAAGGTCTCAGCTCTCTATTAGCCATGCTGAAGGGTCGTGATGTGGTGTCTGGGGGTGTCTGGGGTCACCAGGGTTCTTATCAGTGGCGGGGAAGGGGGGGAGGAGCCGCTGTACCGGCCTTTTGGCTAGATTCAGAGTACCCTGCCTGGTGGCGGGGGTTCCTAAAAGGCTCTGGCAATGGGGAGAAAACCGAATGGGCGTCTACTGACGTATAGAGTGGAGGTCGGGAGTACTCCTCGGCGCTGAGTTCTGGCAGGGCCCAGCACCTCCTGGTTTGGACGGGGCTGCACTGGTCTGGCTATGGGCTGGGAAGGCACAAAGCCCGTGGTGTTAACGCCCCCTGGAGTGGTGACACAGGGGTGCACTTTGGCAAAACACCTCTTGGGCTAGGCCTTTTGGCTGAGACCAGGGGTAATTTTTATTACCGGGCCTAGACATTGTCTCCACTTTGGCATTCTAAATTATTTCGGCACCTTTACCTTCTCACTGTTTCTGCACCTTGACACTTTTTTATGTGTTTTTTCACTCCACAGGATGGAGGGGGAGCGGGTCTTCGGGCCTACACTGATGTCTAAGGATGTGTGGCCCTCAGGTTCCTTCCTCCCCTGAATTTAGGGTCTCCCAACCTAGTACTCGGTAGACAGTTTCGGCTGACCACGAGGAATGGGTCTGCCGGCCAGGTGGACACGAGTGCCTTGACCCCGGCAGGAACCTTGCGCCCCAGGGGATCAGGGATGGGTCCTGTCTCTTCGGGAGAGGGACCCTATAGACAGCACCCTTTTTGTGCACGTTTTTTTTTGTGTTCACTTTTTGGGTGTATCTTAAGCACGCTCCTCGGGCTTTAAATAAAAAATAAAAAGAAACCCGTCCTAGTGATGCTGGGCGTCTTCCAGCGAGGAAATTAAATGGGACCCATTTGACCTGCTGCAGCTTTAAAGCTGTTTAAGTGCCTGGGGACAAAGCAGAGCTACAAGGACGGCTTTCAGGAAACAAAACCGATCTTACCAGAGAAGGAGAGTTGTCTAAGTCTTGCCGCACTTCGAGCCTCTTGTACCTTCTCCACTACGGCCTTCCATGCACCTGTACGGTGGGAACAAACTCATATCACACCATAGGAAAGGACTGGGGTGTCGGTGAGGAATATCAGGCTAGGCCATGACATAAAGAAACCGGCATGCACTGTATGGCATGGAGGGGGACTTACCTTCAGCACTATAAGAATGCGTGTAGAAGCCGTCCTCGCTGATTATTTCGAAGCGCAGGTGCGGCCTGCCTTTCTTGGACAACGTGTTCTCCTTCTCCGCCAGAAAACGTTCCTCAAAGTCTTCAAAGTTGGGAGAGAAACCTGCGTGGAATAAAAGTAACAAGACACGTCATGATGCCAAAATCACCGAAGCTTGCATGATGTAGCGCAGGAGGGCAAGTTCTTATCTGTACCAGCAGGGGGCTCCGAGCCCGGGGATTCTACGGGTGACTCGAAGGGAGGGTCCTCTGTTTTCACATCCACTGTCAGATCTAAATGGATCCTGAAAGGCAAAGAAATGTGTTCATAGTAATTGTGGACCCGACACCCAAAATGCTTAAAAATGAGAACTATGAGGGGCGTGCTTTTCACTCACCTCATAGTTCTGAGACTGTCACAGGTCGGCTCAGTAGATCGGGAGGTGAGAGAACACATACCGGCGTTCGCTCACCTCTCGATCCTGTCACTGCTCTCTGCCATGACAGGGGAGGGGCTGGATTCCCCCCGCTCCGATCCGCTAGCGCTGAGGGAGGGGGGCGGATACAGCTGGCTCTGCCTCTAGATAGGCAAAGCCAGCAGTCTGTCACGCAGCTGGGCGAATCCCGGCACAATTGTCGGGATCCGCTTCAGCTGCGGCGTCTCAGTATACCGCGAGCTACAGCTAACTATATACTGAGCCTAGGGTGACGGGAGGACGCTAGTTTGTGTCCTCCCGTTACCCTAAGGAAAACTATGGGGAAAAGACTTAACCCCATTGTTCTCCTTTAATGCAATGAGAATTACTACAGCAGGGAAGGCCTAGAAAGGGACACAAGCAGCTTTTAAAAGCCATCGGTCACAATGAGAGGGAGGTATACTGTAGTCCTAACACGCTTCCCGATAACACAGATAAGACACATACACTGCAGGGCACAGAGCAGTGCTGGGTTTCTGTTTTCAAAGTTTTTATTGGTTTTCCATAAGATATAGCGTGTTTCAATAGCAGTTTTTAACATATGTATCCAAAAAACAAAAAATTCAATATTTCTCAAATCAACAACAACATTATTTCCCCGCATCCCCCAAACCCTTCCATAGGCCATCAAAGCTATCACCGAGGGGGAGAAAGGGGAAAACCAGTTGTGTTATTAACATTCATCTTTGCCCCTGCCCTCGTCCACCTCCAGGGGCTCACCCTTCCATTCGGTCACTTCTAGCTTTGAGGGTGCGGGGCCTCTCGATATAGGTATAAGCTACTTTCGCTATAAGAGAGCTTATGGAAAAACTTTTTACTGTACAAAAAAGACCAATAATAATAACAGGTATTTTCTTGAATTTAAAAACACTTTCAGTATTATATTTAACAGCCCAAAAAGGGAGCAAACAAGTGACATGTTAACACACACTATAAGATGCAGATTCCAACCGTCATATGTCGAGGTCTACTCACTCGCTATCCAAAGTTGGCACATTTGCATCCAGGGAGTTGAGGTTCACAAACTCTTTGGGTATTAAAGTTTTCATCCGATTCCGTTTTGACCTAATGCAGAGGGGAAAATCGAGACACTAAAATCCAAAAGGTGAAAAGATTTGTCTCAAAAAGAAATATTATAGCCTTTAAAAAAGGGAAAATGCAGAAATAACTCAGTGGAGAGTATGGAGGGAGGGGGAAAAGAGAGAGAGAAAAGAGAGGGGGGAGAGAGAGAGAGAGAGAAAAGAGAGGGGGGAGAGAGAGAGAGAGAGAGAAAAG